AAAGCTATATATATATATATATATATATATATTCTATATGAGATTTACGTAGGATAAATTCGCAATACAAAAACCAATTTCATTTAATTCAATAAACTGTTGTTTAATTCAAAAAATAAACAAAAAATAAAAAGTCAATTGGATAAATAATTTACAAACAAATTACAATAATATTGTAATGTCCAACTTATAATATAAACGCAATAATTCATTCGTTTTTCTTTCTTTTTTCTTTTTATAAATAAATCATCAATCCATAATCTTTTTACTTTCAAGTTAACAGTAATTATTATTCGAATTTATTAATTAATTTAATAGGAAAAAAAAAAATAAAATAATTACGTTGAATAAATTTTAATAACGCATGTTTCTAATATTATCGCTTTAAAGATAATAGTTTAAACAATTTTCCAACAATAACAAAAATAATATATAATATATAAACACGTATACACATTTTACCGGTGATAATGATTTGATCCATTTATAATCTTTACAAAATTATCGATGGTTCATTTAATATCGCCTATTAGTTTGAATTATTTCAACAAAATTCGTGGATTTACAATCAACAACGTAAAATGATATTTTCATTGATAAACGATAAGTAAAATATTTGTTTGATCTAGTTTATATAATTATAAAATCGCAATAATATGTAAGATAAATATTGAATATCAATTCGAAAATATGTTCAATTCGATGTAACAAAATAAATAATAATTACGTTATTACCGGTTGTGTATGATATTTAAATAAATGATTAGCTTAATTCCCGTTTTTGTTTCTTTTGCAACAATTTAAACTCAAACAAAAATTTGCATTTAACAACTATTGCACATCAATATTGAAATGAATCCAATAAACTACACCAAGAACGTTTTCCTTTTCTTCCCTTTTGTTTAACGTCAAAAATCTTAAATTATTATTAAGTTACCCACACTTCGCGTATCTCCCCTGAAAAAAAAGGAAAACAATATCTACGAACAAATGATAGATGACGAGAGATGACGCGATAAAAATTTATTAATCGAACAATTATTAACCCCTTGAGTACTGAATTACTCCCAAAGGGTTAACACCTCCCCTCCCCTCCCCCCTCCCACCACTTGCTCTAATAAATACCGAACTATGAGAATTATAAGCTAATCACGCTGATCACACGTTTATTTGTATATTATTAATTAATTAATTAATTAAGATTAATAAACAATCAATGAACATTTGAATTAAACATATGAATTCGTTGTATATGTTTTTGAAGACTGCTCTTGTATTTGGTTCTATGAGGACAATAGGGACAACATTCTTGAGGATCCTTGCCACATTCGACTTTAAGATGATTCTTCATGTTTCTCAGCCAACGATAAGCTTTACCGCACGATGGACAGATGTAACAACCAGGTCTACGATCAAGACAGGTACTACCCAATTTTTGGGATGGCCTAATATCTGGATAAACCATCGTGTATATCTTATGCGATCCAAACATTTTATCCTCATAATATGGTTGATAGGATTGCCAGTTGTACGCTGAAAAATAAAACAAACAGAAAAAACAACTTAGATCAATTGTATGTTTGATATTCTTCACAAAAAAATATACGTGTGTGTGTGTGTATGTTTGTGATGTATGTACGTTGCTTTTTTTTTATCATTCGAAATAACGAGATATTAAACTTGTTATATGTGTCAATTATTGTGTATATATGTGTGTGTGTGTTGTGTGTGTGTGTATATTAATTCTAACAAAATACAAAAATAAACGATCAGAGGGCTAAAAATTTCTATAAACAAACATTCCAACGTGTGTAATCTTTTTTTTTTTCTTTCTTTCTTTGTAAATTACCATGTGGATGGAATAAATAAAATTCTTTTGCATTTTTTCTTTTTTTTTTTTTTTTCATTAAAATACAAAAAAAAAAAATCCCATCCAACACCATGATAAAAATTGTTGATTAATTAGTAAAAAGAGAGAATATAAAACGTTTAGAAGATAATTATTTTTTGTAAAAACGTACCTGTTTGTCCGGTTCCTAACTTAAAAAAAAAAAAAAAAAAAAAAGAAATGAAACAAAATTTGAGAACAAACCGTGATATATATTATTTTATCGTTCCTTTTTTGTTTTTCTTTTTTTTTTCGAATTAAAAATTGCACAGTTCTATGACATTACGTAATATTTATCTCGCATTTCGTTTAGATGTTTCATGATTTTGTTTATTTAATACCTGTTATATATTTCTTTTGACGGAATATCGAACAGTCATGAACACACAATTTACATAAGTATACATAACGCTTAATAAATAATAAATAATAAATCAGGAATTCGTAATTTAATGATTAAAGCTAATAGTTTATTATTATTATTATTATTATTATTATTATTATTATTATTATTATTATTATTATTTAATCCTGGACACACAATAAAAATTAAAATAATAGGAATAATGATATCTTATAACTTGTCAGATATTTTAATTGAGTACAAAATTAAATTCAATTTTTTGTTCTTATTAGATTATACATTTAATACAATAATAAGAAACACGTTTATGCACATTTTTTCTATTTAAAAGTTGGTTCATTTTTAATCGTCCAACCTGTAAAAATTAGTTTGTTTTACATAAAAAAAAAGTGCATAATTAAATTTATTGTTCTCGCATCATAGTGTTTATGCTGTGCATCGAAACAAATGAAAATTAATGTAATGAACTAAATACTACTTTGGACCTTAATTGTCAATTAACAGTTAATTAGTTGAACAATATTTTTAATCGTGTTTATTTTTAATATAAAACAATGACATTACCCTATCACATATTGAATATGGTCAATTTGATATATAAAATGTAATAAAAAATGTATATTTTCATTGAATCAAATCAAATTACGAACAATTCCATCCTACGCTTGTTCCAATAATTATAAGTTTTCTTATTATTATTATTATTATTATTATTATTATTATTATTATTATTATTTTGTGAAAGTAGTTGTTACTTTCTCAGCATTAAGCTGGTATTATTACTATTATTATTATTATTATTATTATTATTATTATTATATTCACTTTAAATATCTATTTACATAATAATCAATAATTAAAGCGTATAATAACTTTCTCTTTGATGGAAGTGGGAAGGAAGGAAATTGGCTGGTTGGTTGGTTGGTTGGTTGATTGGTTGGTTGGTTGGTTGGTTGGTTGGTTGGTTAGTTTGATTGTAATATACAACAGCAATCATTATTAATCTTTAAATGATTATGGTTATTTTAGCAATAAAAATTATTCGATTACAAATATTTGTGGCAAAGTATTTGGTCAGTGTTTAATTTTTTTCCTACGATAATCGATCAATCAAAACTTCTATGTTAAATATATAAATTATTATTATTAATGCATATATATATATTTAAATATATATATTTATAACGAAAAAGAAGAAGAAAATTCTTCATAAATAAAAGAAAATAAAAGAAACATATTTGATCGTGAACAAATTATTTCGTCATGAAATTAAAGTGTTAAATTAGTAAAAACATTTTTTCCTGGATGATTTGTTCTAATATGTTGGTAAAGGTTGCCACGTTGTTTGGTACGATGAACGCAATAAGGACACTTGAATTGTGGTTCCTTGCCACATTCGTGTCTTGTATGTCTTAATAATGTTGCCCGATGTTGATAACCCTTTCCACATTGTGAACAACGATAAGGATAATCGTTCTTCTGTTTGACCAACCAATATGCTGCAAGATCTTTCATCAACGGTGACATCTGATAATTATTGATATTTCTCGGCGAATTACTTTTCTGCATTACAATACAGTTTTGTTGTAGGTTTTGCAATTCTTGGCGCAGTTGTAATTGTTGTTCATTGAGTTGTTGTTGCTGTGGTTGTTGTTGACGTCGTCGTCTCCTAGTTGGTCGTCGCTGATCTGAAAGAGATAAGCAAAACAAAATACGAATCAAGGTTAGTCCTTCGTTTAATTATTAAATGTTAGGATGATTTTTTTTTTTCATTTACATTTACATAATGATGATTATGATGATTATTATTCTAATGATTCGTTCTTTCATTATTTATTTCTTTTTTTTAAATCAATTAAATAAATGTGCTTATGTTCTTTTTTTTTTTTCTTACAAGTAAGTTGATGTATATATATATATATATATATATATATATATATACAATACACATTTATTTAAATAATAATACTTTTTCCACTGACAAGTTTTTTTTTATTTTTCAGGTATCAAGAAGATTTTCGACAACCGAATCATCATTTATCATTGCAAGATGAATTTACGTAAGCATCATCGAGAATCATTTGTGGATAACCCCAGCAAATGTGTGATTGTTCAACTTGTAGACATTGAAATATTTTCCATAATAAATAATAATTAATAAAAGGCCATTTACCATTAACACTAGAATAAATCGAACATTATTGTTAACGATTAATTACTTTATTTTTGTTCATATTAATTTTCGTCAAAAGAGTAATCTGGCTCTCGGTAAATATTACCCAGCTCCCCTAATTTTAGTTAAAAAAAAAAAAAAAAAAAGTATTTTATAAATATATATTTTTCCTACCATTAACTATTAATGAATGTCATTGAAATAAAAATAAAAAAGAAACAAAAACCAATTATTTATATATTTAATCGAACAATAAAGAAGATTGCGAATTAATTGATTAAATGAATTAACAAATAAGCGAATAATAATTATCATGAATTATTTTCTGTGCTTTCTATTACAGGGTTTTTCCTTAAAACAAAAAACAAAAAAATCAAAAGAAAATGGTATTTCATTTGATCATTTTTCTTACGTGAAGTTTTGTTGTTGTTGTTGTTGTTCTTGTTTTCTTTGTTTTCTTTGTTTTGCAGATACGAAGGATATCATCGTCACTACTAATGCAACATATTGAATGATTAGAAAGATATATAGTATATATACATACATATATAGTACATGTTACATATACTGATGTAAAACCGTAAGTATCAATAATGCACGATATAGAAACGCACGCGTGTCAGTGTAACTGTTGAAGGGATGCTCCCTTGAAGGACTCGGAGCAAGAAAATAAGCATGAACGATGTGTCTGATGTAGAAAAATCATTTCTAATGCGTTATATACTCGTATGTATTATTAAAATAATAATAATAATAATAATAATAATAATAATAATAATAATAATAATAATAATAATAATAATGAATATATGAATTATTTGATAATATTATATACTTTTATATATAATATAAAAATTAATCTATATATATTTTTATCGAAGCACCAAAGTGTTATTTTTTTTACCCTAAAAAAAAAAAAGAAACAAAAAGAAATAAAAAAAAAAAATAAAATACTCGATCGAGGGCATGCGTTTTGTTAGTACAAATAATATATAAACAATCATATATTTATTTTATTGTATTTTGCGACAATTATATTACTGGCGTGCAATAATTATTATGACTATTCTTTCTTTATTATTATTATTATTATTATTATTATTATTATTATTATTGTTTTTTTAATTTGTTTTTTTTTTGTTTTGTTTTGTGATATACTTGTGTTCATTTGTTTTTATTTATTTATTTTTCTTATTATTATATTATTATTATTATTCGTTTGTTTAAATCCCAAACTCTTAAAAAAATCCTTTTTCACATATGATCCTTGACAAAACTCTGAAATAAAATAAATAAATATAAAAAAGGAAAGGATAAATAAATAAAAATAAATTTCTCTTTTATCAGAAAAAAAAAGAACATAGAAAAAGGAAAGAAGAAAAAGAAATCGTAGATAGAAAACAACAGTCGCGTTTCCCAATTTTTTCGATGATTTTTAAATGCAACAGCAATATATATATATACATATACATATATACACATTAACATTAATTAAACAAATTAATCGATTGAAAAATTGAATTTGTTGAATTACAGATGCACCGCTATTTCCGATAATGAGGCCGAGATTGCACGTATGTCCACGTTGCGGACAGATGTATGCCTGGGCATCGAATTTGAGAAAACATCTGAAGATGGGATGCGGAATGGTCACCTTCGAGACCCATTTCTCCTGTCAGTACTGCCCTTATAGGTCAAGGATCGAAGCCAGCTTCTTGAAACACCTATTGTCCGTTCATAATATCAAGTAGACCGAGGCCATCGCGCGAGGTCATCTCGCTTAATTTTTATATTCTTTTATTTATTTTTTATTTATTTATTCAATTTTTTTTTCTTTTAAATGAACAATTATTATTACGAAACTGAAATGTGTACGACGTCTCTATCTTTTTTTTTTATATATATTTTTTATTTTATCATAATTTTTATATCCATAAAAATGAATAGAACATCGTACACGATTTGGTCGTAAAAAATTTTTGCTTATCAATTGAGAATATACCAAAAAATATTCAGCAAGACTATTTTTTGCTATTCTTAAAGCAATATTTTTGTTGTTGTTGCAATTAAAAGAATCCAAAGAAAAAAAAAAGTAATCAGTTGCAATATTATATTATTGCTTAGTTTAATAATGATTAATCGTTTTTTTTTTTTTATTTTCACTTTCTATCGATCTCTAAGTTCGATATTCGAACATTTTGCATTAATGTTCTTCTTCTTTTTTGTCTTTTTAATTTATTAGTATTAATTTTAATTATTAATTATTAATTACGAGATACACGATTACGCGCGAGTGTGTGTGTTTGAAGTTCAATGATTTAAATGTGACATTCGAAGAAATAAGAAAAAAACCAATCAACATTACACGTGAGTGAGAAACAATTATTAACAAATGGACAAAAAAAAAAAAAAGAAAAGAACAATCAATTGTGCGTGCGCTTTAAAAATGATTTTTTAAGCCGTGCACACTATAAATCGTAATTATTATAAAAAAAGAAAAAAAAAACATACATCTCGATCTCTAGTCACACGTGCTGATGATTGTCCTATTTATACATATACAATTTTTGTTTCCTAATCTATGTACGTCCGAGTATAATTTTTAAGGTGTTAATATTTTATTTTATATATATTTTTTTTTTTTTTTCTATAGCGTAGCAATAAAAATAATTCACCATTATATATTGTCAGGTGAATTCATTCGTGCAATCTAGGGTGGATAAAAATTGTCTACTATTTTTTTTTTGTTTTTCTTTTCTACTTTGTCGTCGAGAAAAGAAAATATTTTTTTTTTTTTATTAACTTTCTTGTCATTTATTTTTGTGATATTTGTATATACCGTAAGCAGCTTTATACTAGTCCCATACGATTATAATTATTCTTCAATTTTTCCTACTGAAAAAAGAAAACCAAAAAAAAAAAGAAACAAAAAAGAGAAATGAACATTTTGAAGAATAATTATAATCGTTTTGATAAACAGAACAAGATTTAAAAAAGGAAAAGAAAAAAAACGAAGCCATAAGTATGAAAGAGGAAAAAGAAAAAGAAAAATGAAATGAAATGAAATAAAATAAAATGAAAGGGAAGAGAAAAAAGATAAAAGAGTTTCGTCAGAGAGACAAACAAACAAACAAACAAACATAAAAAAAAAAATAAAGAAAAGTGTTTGAAAGAGATGAAAAAATGGGTGGTGTGTCCTTAGATTTTAAAGATTTTATAACGCACGCTGTAGGATCTTCCTCGTTTATTCGATAAGCTCTCCATTAGATGAAACATATACATAATTTAATATTTAATATAATAAATATGTCGACATAGTGATTACATTTCGAAGTAATTATTATAACGTCGTGTTTAAGAAATAAAAAAAAAAAAAAAAAGGTCAAAATAATCGACGAATCCGGTGGTAACGGTCGGTTAAATTGAAAATCCACCAGAGCAAAATTAAAATTAGTAAACACCAAAGAATATACAATTTATTAATAATAATAATAATAACAGTAATAAAATATTATTAATAATATAAGAATAAGAATAAATGTATTAATACGTTTTTTTTTTTTTAATCGACCGTTGCCACATATTATTAGACACGTAAGAATAATTAATTAATTAATTAATTGCAAAAACGTAAATTTATATTAAACGTGAATCGAATTTTTATTTTAGCTTTTCATTGTTGTTTTGTTGATTTTGTTGTTGTTGTGTTGTTGTTGTTTATCTGTATTTTTGTTCTTTCATTTTCTTTTTTTATTTTCTACATACATTATATATGCACGCATATTTTCATTTTTTTTTCTTTTTTTTTTTTTATATACAGAATTAGAGATAAAACTAATTATGTGAAAATTAGAAATGTTTGTGTTCTCTTCTCTCTGTTTTTATAAATCGTTCCTATATATACATTTTTACGAAAATAAGAAGAAGAAGAAGAAAAAAAAAAAGAAGAAAAAGACTTCATTTTAATAGTAATGCGAATTTATTTTAAACAAACTTTCTCAAAAGTTCCTGTCTCGTCCTATTCGAGAATAACGAATATCATAATCACAATGTTGTTAGTTTATCATTTAGAACAAACTCGATCATTTTTTTTTTTTTTACTTATTTTTCATTTGTAAAAAAAAAAAAACTAAACTCCAAGCGACGATTATCAAAAATATTATAAAAGTATATTTAAGATATGAATTAAAAGAAAAAAAAAGAAACCAATTAATAGCTCAAGTATCGCATGTAAAACTATTATTATTATTATAATATGAGATCAATACGTATAAAAAAGTAAACAAAATAATAATAATAATAATACTAATAATAGTAATAGTAATAATATTAGTAGTAATAATAATAATAATAATAATAATAATAATAATAATAATAATAATAATAATGATAATAATAATGATATTTAAAAAAATAGAGAAGAATAAGAAAAATTGCAAAATTGAAACGATGCGAGAGATAAAAACTAACTTAGAAACGAAACTTCGTATATAGAGATTATATTATCTATATATATATATAAATATATATATTAGATTGTTCTGAAATGAAATTTTATTTTTTTAAATGATAATTAAATTAAAAACAGTATTCACATTTCTACTTGATAAATTTAAAAAACAGC